ATATATATATATATATATGTATATAGTACCTAGAAATAAATTTAACCAAGGAGGTAAAAGACCTGTACTCAGAAAATTTTAAGGCACTGAAGGAGATATCAAAGAAGATAAAAGTAAATGGAAGCATAAATAGGAAGAATTAACATAATAAAAATGTCTATACCACAGTAATCTATAAATTCAATATAATTCCTATCAAGATACCAAAGGTATATTTCACAGAACTGGAACAAATAATCAAAAAAATGTATATGAAACCACAAAAGATCCCGAATAACCACAGCAATTTGAGAAAGAAGGATAAAGTTGGAAGTATTATGCTACCTGACATGAAACTATGCTACAAGACTATGGTAATCAAAACTTATGACCCTGGCATAAAGCAGAAATATAGATCAATGGAACAGAATAGAGACTCTAGAAATAAACTGCCTATGTGGGCAATTATTTCTTTAAAAATATATATTTTTTTATTGATTTTAGAGAGGAAGGGAGAGGGAGAGAGAGAGATAGAAACATCAATGATGAGAGAGGATCATTGATCGGCTGCCTCCTGCTCGAGCCCACAGCCCAGACATGTGCCCTTGGCTGTAATCGAACCCAGTACCCTTCAGTCCACAGGCTGACACTCTATCCACTGAGCCAAACCAGCTAGGCTGGGCAATTAATTTTTAACAAAGGATACAAGAACATACAATGGGGTAAAGACAGTTTAGTCAATAAATGGTGTTGGTATAATTGGACAGATACATGCAAAAAAACAAACAAACAAACTAGACCACCAACTTAAACCATATATAAGAATAAACTCCTTCCTTCCTTCCTTTCTTCCTTCTCTTTTAAACTACTATATTCCTTTCTACTCTCTGAACTTTTTTGTTTTTCTTTCCTTCTCCCCCCCCTTTATTTGGCCTTTAAGGACAAACAAATTCCAATCCTGGACCCCAGGTGAGTCCATGGAGGCCCATCGGGGCAAAGTAATTTAGCCAAGATCACACAGTTAATGATGAGAGGCAGAGATAGGGTTCCTTTGAAGTCTTCGGACTATAACACCATTGAGAGAGAGAAGGGAGGCAGTGACACTGTGTGGTCAGAGGATCCATGGTTGAGAGATGAGGCAACTGTGCCACCTGCTGATTCTGGTCTAGGTGGCATATATAATGCAAGGCTGACCCTCTCATGACTCAGTCTCTAAAATTCCTGTCTCCCTCTGACCCTAATAATAATCTGGCTGTGCTGAGGAAGACCCAAGCTCCATGGTAGTTCTCTCTCCAGCTAGGCAGAATTTAGGGGGCCTTGGGTGGGCTGTGGGAGGGTCCAGGGGCATGGAGTAGCAGTGCAGCTGTTTCTGCAGTGATGATAAAGGGATCTGTAAGCAGAGAGGACTGAAGTTCCTGGAGAGTGTGTTGGGAGGTATGGGCTGCACCTGATTAAAACCTCTGGATTTTTGCGACACTTCCATGAGGTTCCCATGAGAAGCACTCACATTTACAAATAAGAAAACAAATGTATACATGTGAGCAAATCTTCTCAGGGCCACACAACCAGGACCTTCAAAGCATGAAGCCTGAGTCCCATCCCTTTGGCCTTCCCACCATGGGCCCAGGCCAATTGCACACAACTGTCTACACCTCTGGATAACCTGAGATGTCCCAGCTGCCTAGCTGACACACACGAGTCTCCTATCCTCGTTTCTCTTCTACTTCCTTCTCTTCCTCTAGCTCAGGGGTCCTCAAACTTTTTAAACAGGGGGCCAGTTCACTGTCCCTAGACTGCTGGAGGGTCGGACTATAGTTTAAAAAAAAAAAAACTATGAACAAATTCCTATGCACACTGCACATATCTTATTTTGAAGTAAAAAAACAAAACGGGAACAAATACAATATTTGTATTTGCATGTGGCCCGCGGGCCATAGTTTTAGGACCCTTGCCTAGCTTCTATGGACTTCCATCCCACACATGGATGGCTGAGTACTCTTCCATGTGAAGTCCCATGTAGAAGGGTGTGGGACACGGACACACACACACACACACACAGTCCTTCTCATGGGGGCTGTGGCCCAGGGCTCTGTGAGGAAGAGTATGAGCCTGCCAAGGTTTCTCCATCCTGGCCTCATTTCCTGTCATGTGCAGCCCCAGTCAGAAGTTAGGCCTGGCAATTCTAGTTCCCAGACGCTGCTCTTTCTTTTCTAGCCTCTCACCCATGATCCAATCCAATGTAGTGAGTATTGTGCCCTCCCTGCTGGCTTACCAGATAGGTTTGAGGGAAATTGAAATGGGGGACACTTATCAAGAGGTCAGTGACCAACAAATCATCACAATGAACTAATCTGTTTAGGTATACTCACACACACACATGCAGCCTGGACAGCTAGCAGAGATGTGCATGAATGCATGTGAGCATACTTTTGCATTGTTGTTTTTATTTTTGTTAAGCAGTCATTCCTAAGACCTGCCCAAGCCCAGTATCTCTGCAGAAGAGTGGCACTATCAGGACCCCTGTAGATGAGATCCCTACCAGGGGCAAGTGCAGAACCAATCACCTATGACAAAGCCTGCCACTCCTGCCGGAAATTATGGGGGTGTCAGTTGGCACCTTGACCCCTGAACACAACAGCCTGTTTAGCCTGACCATCTCATCAGCAAGCTCCCTTGCATGTCCTAGGCAGCCAGCAACACCTCCCTGAGCCCAGGGATCTCAGGGTGTCCACTCCTGCTAAGCTGGTTCTTCCTCCCTTGGCTCTCCTGGCTGTGCCATGCTAGTTCTGAGCTGCTGCTGCTGGCTTCCATCCTACTCTCATATCCAGCCTACATTATCTTTCATATGTTCATCTCCTCCAGTAACCCGAGCAGCTGGTATTCTCACAGACTCTGTTTTCACTACCTACACCAGTACCACCTTGTCCTTCATGGCCACTGCGCTGCACAGCTACCTAACAGTCGCTCGTTCTCTGCACTTCCTCTCCTTCATATTCTGTGAAGCTATCCAGAATGTGGTGGCCTGCTTCTTCCCCATATTTCTCATTTGGCTTTGCAGGATACCAGGTTGGAGAGCTAGGATTCTCATGCATCAAATAGTTGAGACTGGGCATCAAGTTGAGCCATGGCTCCCTAGTCACTGTCACACACATCTTGTGCATTTTCTTTCTATGCACAGCTCTATCACCTACTGTTTCTGCATGATCTATGCAGGGGTCAGGATTTCAGGTTTCTGGGTTCAGGCTATTCCCAGGAAAGCAGCACTCTCCTTATCCACCAGTGCTAATCACACTGTATGTGAGCTCAGTGGTGGCATTTTCCCTGGATATTGTGCTGACCAAGAAGCACCACATTGATGCCAGGACTGACATATGGCTCACAGCAGCCAGCAGTGAGGTGCTCTTGGCTTCTGATGGCTGCTGGGGATAGTCTGGGGCCACTTCTCATCCAGGAGGCACAGTGACATTTTCACCATTTTTTAGATCTAGACTTCTTAGTCTGGCAGGCGAAAGTTAAAGTTCAATGTATCAGCATCCATTTATAGCCAGATCCTCAAAACTGCACAATAATTGTAGAACATGTCAACATAAGAAACATTCAAGCCTGTAGAGAATTTTATGAGTTTATTTGAGCCAAACTGATGACAATTGCTGGGAAGCAAAACTTCAATGGATTGAGAAAATGCTCCAGAAAATGGCAATTCTGTATATTATTTTACACATTATAATCAAAAGAGAAGATGTAAGTGGATTACATGAAATCCATTGGCAATAGATTGGGGAGGGGGAGAAAGCAAAGTGGAGAAACTTCTGAGATTGGATAAAAAATAAAATGATACCCACATACCTCCTTTACACAGGTGAGTACAGGACAATTATCGGTCAACAATTAACATGATAATGACAATGAGGGATTTGTAGTCTTTGCTCTGTTGTAGTGTCTGTGCTCTGAGGGGGTCTGGAAAAAGGGAAATTATATTGTTTTTGCAAGGACATGTTTTTAGGCATGTTATCCTAGACACAAAAAGACAATAGACAGACTTAGCTAAGGTGAAGACTGACCTTCGCCAGGGAAGAATACTGCCTTAGGATATGACTACCCACTATGCACTACTCTTAGTTAAAAAGCTTTACTTTCAGACCATCCTATATTGTTACTAGAGGCCCAGTGCACAAAACTTGTGCACTCGTGGGTAGGGGGTCCCTCGACCCAGCCCGTGCCCTTTCGCAGTCTGGGACCCCTCGGGGGTGACCACTTGCTGGCTTAGGCCTGCTCCCCAGGGGATTGGGCCTAAGATGGCAATCAGACATCCCTCTGGCAGCCTGGCAGCCCTCAGGGGATGTCCACTTGCCAGCGGGGAGCAGACCTAAGCTGCAGTCAGACATCCTTAGCGCT